TACATTTTTATATGTAATATAAAATATAAATATATGATGTATATGAGCTGTTTATAGAGCAATCTGTGATACATAATGTGTATAGACACATATATACACATATAGCATAAATATAACTTATGTACAATATAGACGGTATGTCCACATATGTGTGTGTATTACAAACACACACACACACTTTTTTAATATACATATATATATACATTTTTATATGTAATATAAAATATAAATATATGATGTATATGAGCTGTTTATAGAGCAATCTGTGATACATAATGTGTATAGACACATATATACACATATAGCATAAATATAACTTATGTACAATATAGACGGTATGTCCACATATGTGTGTGTATTACAAACACACACACACACTTTTTTAATATACATATATATATATTAAAAATCTGAAAATGTGTACCAAATCTAAATGCATTAGAGTTATAAATTTTAAACTCTTCGCTGTGGAGGAAGTGAGGAGTTTGTGGCAGTGACAGCAGGGGCAGGCAGGGCAGGCAGGGAGGGGGGTATGGTGGGGCACAGGGTATCCCTGATCCCATGTCACTCTCTCTTCCCCCCTCACAGGCCGGCCCCAGTCCCCCCCTGAACTCCTCCTCTTCCCGCCGGCCACCGAGGAGATCTCCACGCAGAGCAAAGCCACGCTGGTGTGTCTGCTGGAAGACTTCTACCCCAGCACCGTGCAGGTGACCTGGACGGCTGATGGCCAGATGCTCACCAGCGGCATCCAGACCAGCAATGCCCAGCAGCAGAGCAACAGCAAGTACATGGCCAGCAGCTACCTGACACTGAGTGCCGCCGACTGGAATAGCCATGAGTCACAGGCCCAGCAGCTCCCTGACACTGAGTGCCGCCGACTGGAATAGCCATGAGTCCTACACCTGCAAGGTCACGCACGAGGCTGGCAACGTGGAGAAGAGCCTGAAGAGATCCGAGTGCTCCTAACCTTGCCGAGAGCCCCCGCCCGCCATACTCAGTGGCCCCTTGCCAGCCCCATTCCTCTTCCCCCACGCAGATGTCCCTCCCTGCTGTCCCCTGCTCTTGTCCCCCCCTGCCCTGAGTGTCACTCAAATAAACACCGACACTGAACTAGCGCTGGCTCAGCATCCCTGTCTCTGTGTCCTTCCAACGCGCCCGGCATCGCCCCAGTGGCTCCAGCATGGAGGAGGGTGGGCTGGGAACACACAGGCATGTGTACACACCTGTGTTGCTGGGGGTGCCCAGGGCTCCTGAGCTCTTGCTTGCCCCTGAGGACCCTGCTGACCACCCCTGACATCAGGTCCAAGGGATGAGCAGCCTGGGGCATCAGCCTGGTCTAAGCTCCCACGCCAGCAGCAAGCACATGGTCCTGGCTGTGCCAGTCTTGTCCCTCACTCGCTGGCCTCTGGGCACCAGGTCATGCAGGGACACATGGCTTGTGGTGGGACCACGGCCAGCCATGTCTGCTGGCCAGCCCTGCCTCTGTCCCCATTTCCCTGGTCACCCCTCTGTCTCCCAGGATGGGGGTGCTGGTATAGCCACCGGGACATGCACATGCACCAGCCTGTCCCTTCCACAGCCACAACACAGCCCCCTCCCCAGGCTGTGTCAGCGCCAGCGGGGTGCCCACCCCAGCCAGGATTTCGGTTGCCACATGTCCCTGCAGATGCCTTCTGGGGACACAGAATCACAGAAACGCGGAATGGTTTGGGTTGGAAGGGACCTTTAAAGGTCGTCTACTCCAAGCCTCGTCCCCCTGCAGCGAGCAGGGACATCAACTAGATCAGGCTGCTCAGAGCCCCGTCCAACCCGGCCTTGAATGTTTCCAGGGATGGGGCATCTACCACCTCTCTGGACAACCTGTGCCAGTGTTTCACCACCCTCATCATAAAAAATTTCTTCCTTATATCCAGTCTAAATCTACCCTCCTTCAGTTTAAAACCGTTACCGCTTGTCATATCACAACAGGCGCTGCTAAAAAGTTTGTCCCCATCTTTCTTGTAAGCCCCCTTTAAGTAGCAAAAGGCGACAATAAGGTCTGCCCAGAGCCTGCTCTTCTCCGGGCTGAACAGCCCCAACTCTCTCAGCCTGTCCTCACAGCAGAGATCTCCCATCCCTCTGATTGTTTTCGTGGCCTCCTCTGGACCCGCTCCAACAGCTCCAGGTCTGTTGTGTGCTGAGGGCTCCAGGGCTGGATGCAGGACTCCAGGTGGGGTCTCACCAGAGCAGAGTAGAGGGGCAGAATCACCTCCCTCACCTGCTGCCCACGCTGCTCCTGGTGCAGCCCAGGGTAGGGTTGGCCTGCTGGACTGCGAGCACACATTGGTGGCTCATGTCCAGCTTCTCATCCACCAATACCCCCAAGCCCTTCTCTGCAGGGCTGCTCTCAATCCCTGCATCCCCCAGCCTGTGTTGATACCGGGGCACAGGAGGGATGACCGAACCCCAGGAGCCTGGGCATGGGGAGTGCCCCACAGAGAGGCACAGAGGTCAGCCCCGCTCAGGGCAACCCCTGTGCCCATCCCAGGGACCTGGGCCCCCACCACCAGCGTGGGTCCTCCCTGCCTCCTACTGTCAGCTGCCTCGAGAAGGCTGGGGGCCAGCCAACACCTTCACTGTGGGATGGGCACTCCCCACGTTGGCCTTGCTTGGGGCAAACCTCCCGGCAGCTTGCAAGGAGAAAGCAGCACTGCTCTGTGCAGTGCTGCTGACCATGTGTCTGTGCTGCATCCATCTGTCCTGTCTACCCCAGTGCCTCTGTCCTCTCCACCTCAATGCCCCCATCCACCCTGCGCACCCCAATGCCCCAATCCATGCTGGAGAGCTCTGGTGGAGCTGCCCACCCCGGATCTTTAATGTTCTTTTTTACCCAGCTGTTCAGTAACCACGTAAGGATTTCTCAGGAAATGAAGCCAAAATGAAACCAAAAATCTTCTGCCAAACTCAAATTCTATGAGAAAAGATCCGAGGGGACAGTTTCTGCTGTCTGCATTGTGCCTTGTCTGGCAAAACGTCTAAGGGAGTGGAGCCTCCTAGGGAACAAGCACTGCAGCAGCAACCACTAACTTACCTGTGGAGCAAATACCAAAGAGAAACTTTGAGTGGAATTCAGTTTCTTTCATCCGTCTCTTGCTTACATGGACATGCCGGAGTGGGCAGTGGTGGCCTGGTCCTGCTGCTGGTGAAAGGAGCACCGTGTCCCTCCGCAACTCTGGCAACACAGTGTTTTAGCATTTCAGAAGACTTTATTCTGATGGGAAGATGCTGCTCACTACTCAGATAAGGCGCTTTTCCAAGTGTGCATTTCTGCAGGGTGTGCAGCTGTCAAGCCAGCTCCGGGTCCATGGTCACATCTGCAGCACCAGCCCGATGCTCCTGGCTGGAGCAGCATCCCTGTCGCTGTCCCCATCCCTCCCCAGTGCTGCTGGAGACAGCAGATCCCCACTCCATGCTGTCCCCACATCTCCATGCCCAAACCATTCCCACCCTCCCACCCCGCCCCGCCTATGTGCCCTGCACGCAGGGGTCACCCAAACAAACACGGCCACCAAGCTTGCGCTGGCTCTGCATGGATGGCCACATCTCCTGCATCCCCCACCCGATTCACATGCTGGTGTTGTCTCCACGTGCACTAAGATCAGCTTTTGCGAAGCAGCAGGGCTGTTTACAGCTGCCATTTCTCTCTCACTGCCCAGTGACCCTGCAGTCCCTGGGGATGAAGGAGCACTGGGAGATGCACTGAGTGCCCCAGACCTCTGCCAGCCTGCCTCCCTGCCCATGCACCGCTGAAGGGGGTCATCCTGGCTGGCACAGGCAGGGGCTCAGTCCCCGCAGCACAGCCCTGCTCTGACCACCAGCAAACCCTCACCCCTCACTGTGCCTGAGGCCACCCCAGGATGCTCCTCTCCAGAGCTGCTGGGGTTTCTCCAGCTGCACCAGCCATTTTGTCCTCACCAGAGTACAGCCCGAGCCTTCCCCAGGCACCCCAAGCAGCTCCAGGGATGCATGCCAGCCCTGCAGGGATGTGTGCCAGCCCTGTGGAGGCCGTGGGCACTGTGCAGTCCTGGCAGGGCACAGACAGGAGGGGACACAAACTCTGGTCTGCCCTGGCACTCCTTCACTCTTCCTTTTCAGCAGGGAGCTGGCAGCGGGGCCTGGACCCCACCATAGGTGCCAAGAGGCACCTCGTTCTCCAGAAAATTTATTGGCTTTATTCTGGCTTTATCCTGCTCCCCAGCTGGGCAAGGGAAACCCTGCCATGGCACAGCCCCATGTGTGGGGCAAACCCTCTTCCCATTGCCCTGCATGGAGGCAGTCCCACAGTGTCACTGCCCATGAGTGGGGTGACAGGCTCAGGGTTTTGCCAGAAAACCCCATGCCCACCGAGTAAACCCATCCCCAGGCCAGATCACAGCCCTCTGGGCTGCGGCTGGATCCAGGGAAGAAACCAACAGCAGGATGGATGCTCAGCCTGCGTCACAGCAGGGGAAGGAAGGGCGGGCAGTGGAGGCATCTGTCCTGCTGTGCTTCAGGATGAGCTCCTTTAAGACAGAGTTTCCCAGGCAGAGAGAGCCCACAGCAGCAGAGAGCCAGCAGAGTTAGTCCTGGGGGGCTGCCGGGATGCGGTGCCTGTGGTGAGGGTCCAGGATGCGAGTGTCCCCGCAGTGTGGCCACACACACTCATCCTGGCTCGCTGCTGGGGGTCACGGACTCAGAGACGGCACCAGCTCTTTCGCCCCGACGTTTCCATGCTCAAGTAAGATTAATCCTCGGCAAACCCCTGCCTGCAGCATCCTCTTCCCCAGCCTTGTGATGCTGCCAGGGCTTTCAGCAGGGAGAGTTGCTGCCTGGGTTTCTGCCAGCCAAAAATGCCCCAAGGACCGAGACCTGCTGCCAGGAAGGAAGCTCGCTTCTTTTTTCCTCTGAGAAAGCTGAAGCCTCAGTAATCATTGATCCCAGCAGTTGGCAAATCACACCTTTAAGCAGCAGCTGAGGCCGGAGTGAACGATCGGGTAACACAGGAGCCTCCGTCCCAGCCCTGCATGTGCCACACTTTGGGGGGGTGGCTGGTGGGGAGGGGGGCAGCAGGGCAGTGCTTTCCATGGGGCCTGAAACCCATCTCAATGTCCCACAGGTAAAGCCTGTCCCTTGGTTACAGGACACCAAACCAAGCTTTTCACAGGCTCAGTTTGGGGCAGGTCCTGCTGGGCCACAAGCCGGGGTCTCGCTTCGGCTCGGGTCTGGGTGAGCAGAGCACAGGCACATCTCCAGCTCCGAGTGCAGGAAACCTTATTAGTTATTGATTAGAAGATTTTGCTAAATCCTCTCTGTAAGCAACAAGTGGCAAGGAAATATCTGCTGAATTACTGATCAGTGGCCCTGGCCGCCCCAGGGCCCACATACTCCCCCACCACCCACAGCACAGCGAATTTCCAGCCGGTGATGAGCACGTCAGCGGGGCTGGAGAGCTGCTGCTGGGAATCACACTGGAGTGCAGGGCCTGATCCAGCCCGTGGAGGGGAGGGGAGCCGTGCCTGGGAAGAAAAGGCCCATTCTGCTCTCGCAGCCGCCCTCAGTGGGATTTTCTGTTGAGCAACTGTGCTGAGCGAAACCGAAACCTGCGCCTCTCCCAGCTGCAGCTCTCGCTCTGCTGTCTCCGGTGCCATTTTAAACAGTCATTCATTTTTTTGTTTTCCCGGATTGCCATTAATTTTCAATTGAGAGAGAAATACTTTAGTAAATGAGATGCTTCAGGAAGGCTTTAATTAGCTGCAGAGAGAGGTGGCAGGTCCCACGACGGGGTCGGGGCTTGTCGAGAGCTGCTCTCCGAGGCTGAGGCTCGCAGGCGAAGGCTTAGCGAGGCGTTTGGGGGCTTTAATAAACCCTCGTGGTTTAGATGTTTTGGGCTTGGAGGGGCCCCATGGCCAAGACCAGAGGGAGGGATGTGGGGATGGAGGCAGAGGGGT